CAATGATGTTTGTTTTCGTACTGATATTCTTGTCACTGTCAACAAAAAATAATAAAACACGTTTTTATCGCTGTTGCTGTGGATACGGCAGGAATTACAATTATTTGTAGAGATATGCATGTTAGTGGGTTTGTGTTCAAGTAAGTATTAAATGTACCACCATTTTGTAGTAGGTAAAGGTATTAACTTTATATTCTAAGGTTATAAAGTACTCGTCAGGAGCATCAAAATGATGTGCCACAAGACCCTCGCTTTCATATAATTTTTTTTCCAAGATGGCGCCCAGCAGGTTCTAACAAAACCTACGTCTGTTTGATGCCATTGCAATACATGGAAATTTGTACCAGAAGTTTTTTCGAAGACGTGGGAGGTATAGAATCAATCGAATTAACGCCATTTTCTAGTCACACAGTCCAGAAATAGAACAATAACATAAACTGAATTGCAGTAGATATAAAATGACAAAAAAAATATTGTATTATATAAAAGTATTTCAGCCGAAGCCGTCGCCTGTCTATCTGCCGTTGGTTTGTCTCTATACTACTTCATACTTCTTAATTTTTCGGAGGGCTAAAACTTTTAAATACTTAATCTCGAAGCTTTGTTTATTGCCGCTATTCACGATTTTCATTAGTAAAGACCTTCGCTAAAGGGCTCAAAAATTTCAAACTTTAGAAGGCTCAATCCAAACTACTCGTATGACATCGCGAAAAAATACGTAGACCTATCCGTGCAACTTTAATAATCGGCACTCAATGAGTGAGAGTAATAAGTCTTCAAAAATGGAAACTTTCTCAACCAGCCAAAAATTTTATAATAAAAAGGCTTTGTTCCGTTACATAAACGTTTATCTGTTATGACGCACCCTTGCGTAACAACCTACACCTATCCATTTGAATAGTATACGAATAGGAACTGCTAACATGTCAGTCCTCTAATAAGATGTTTCAAATATCGTTTCTTATAAAACTACTTTGTATTTTCGCATACGACTTGAAAAATGGCGAATGTGCTATAACATCGGTTGCTATTTCCAGAAATGGTGGAAGTGTCAATTAGATTTGCTCACCGCACCATGTTCACAGTGGGTGGATTCATCACCTGAACCTAACACTAACACTAACAAAGTACCAGGCTGAAAACATCTGGTAATCTGACCACAGGTCATACAGCAATACGTGCAAAATGAGCACGTTTTCGGTATTTCGGTAAATAAAGTCTCATTTCGGTAGAAACACCGGAAAATCGGTAGGCTCAGCAACACTGGTCCTAGAGGGCTCGCCTACGGATGGCACCCCCGTGTTACGTAACTTAAAGTGACATTATGTCGATTTTATATGACATTAAGTAGGTTTTTCTTGACATTATGCAGGTATTCCTATAAAATATCACCTGTTAACAGGTGCATAGTGCACGCGTTGACATTTTCCGTAATAACAGGTTGTACTATGGCAAACTGGTAACAAAAACAAATGTTTCTCAGAATACATTACTTTCGCAAAATATAAGCTCGAAAGTCGATTGCTGAAGCCGCTTGACATCTTATTTGGGAGAGCAGTCTCCCGGTCCGACATTTGTTTGTTTTTGAGAGTCTGATCTTCACTTTAAAAAATAGTCGTTAACATGCCTTCTAACAGCCTGCCCGGCAAAGGTTTGCTCACCACAAGCTACAACCCCATTTTCCTGCGTTTTACAACTTTTCAATAATTAATTGAAGATCTTTGCAGCACCATATGCTCGTCAGGCATTTCTCACCTGTATTAACCCCATTATCCGCTACACTCCGATACCATTCTTATCAACATTTCCGATCACGTAGGGCCGAGTGTCGCTGGCTATTAAGCTATTTGATAAGGACTTTGGGAACAACATATTCGTTATGGTTTAAATGTTAACAAGTGTGAAGTATATTTTCATTCGTAAATATTGTTTTTAAGTATTTTGTCCTTTGTGTTAACTGCTAAAAAACTTCTTTTTAAGAATATTTTTTGATTCATTTTCTTGTATGTACTAGTCTCGATGTTTGAGTCTGCCCTACCCGGAGCCATCGTTACGTCGCTGTATCAAATACACGTGGCAGTTGTTTTGTCGAATATATTGAACATCGTTTAAAAATCTATTAAAGCCGCGAAATACACAACGAGAAAGCTCGCTTGATGTATGAATTGGATTATTCAACCGTGAACCCTAAAAATACGCCTCAGTCAATATAAACAAAAAATCAACTAATCCGATTCAATGGATGGAAAACTCCGAAAAATACGTGAACATTGTTAAGCAGATTAAGCTCGTACTTTCCTCTCATTTCCTATGAATTTTAGTATTGATCTCTCAAATATTTTCTAATGAAGAGGAATGGCAATTAAGCAAAAGTTTCTAAAATGATCATCAACAAATTCTACAGACAGTCAGAAAATACTGATCCGATCATTTTCAAGAATATGTCTAGCTTGCAAACGCTGCTGAAGAAATGCAGTTTGAACATTTATTGTGAATTTAATAAGTACATTCACGAATTAATAAAAGTGGCGTCACTATCTGTCTTGCTGTCACTACGTAGAATGACACTGTCCGTCACTCCGTCTAAGAAATATGGAAATTTGTAGTCATTGGAACTAAAAGATTTTTCCGATTTTTTTAAATTTTTCCGATAACTACTATTACTTGGCCTATCCCCCGCTTAGGGCAAGACGTCGACCTCTGGGACACCCTGTATAAGTTTCGGTTTCCGCTCCTGAGGTATGGCCGACTGAAGATCGGTTTTCTCATTGCTTTAAATAGGCTATGACAACCAACATTTGCATTGCTATTGAAATACAAATATTCAGCAAACTATGGACACATCGTTGTTACTTGTTACGTTCATTTAAGCCTATGGAAAGTATTCAGCCTAGATCATCAGCACTTCAAGAACAGAAGGTATAGGAACTCAATCAGAATTTTTTAGAAAATTAATGTTCATCATGAACTCTTATTCGACATACATTTGAAGCAACATTACGAGGTGCGCCCAACGATCATCTGGGACAAGATTTTCTCTTTCCAACACACACTTGATTTTGAAGCTCTGAGCTCAGATGACTGGAGCAGTCTTTGAAAAGGTGGTATAAAGTAAACGTCTTATAAACAAATCTGTAACTTTAAGAAAGGATAGCGGCAACACTGCCAAGCCGCTCAGTGCGCATGCGACTAGCGACTACTCTCCCACCAACAGCAACGGTGTGAGTTTCTTCCTGTTGGAACAGGTATAGTCTAGACTGTTATGGTCTGGTCTAGTGTCTAAATCCTGTACCAGTCCGGAGTCCGCAGCAAAATTTGGCTGAGAAGTGAAAAAGCCGAGTTTTGTCGATCTGGTTGGTATTAACGCAATTTTCTATGTTCTATTGATTTTTTATTTTCCACGCATAAACCACAAAATTAATTTTTGTTTGTTTTTAATTTTTATACTATAAAAGAATCGTGTCTAAAAAATGACAGACGGAAAAATGGAAACTTAATATAATTTCAATTACGAAGTGTTTGGTCAATACTCCAGCTATCATTATCATCTATGTCTATTTTGTCTCGGAGGTCCCTGAATATGAGCACTTCAGTGCATTTCGTTCATCCGAGATGGCAAATTATATATTTAGTTTTTGAAAATTGCGTGAACTTAAGAAATCTTGTTTTCCAAACAGAAAAGGTTCTTTGTTATGAGATACGTGAATGCGTGGAAACCAATAATGCCGTTTATTTGACAATATTTGTGTAACTTTTAGTGCTGGTTGACGGCTGTTGTTGTCAGGATGAGTAAAAGGAAATAGAATACCATCGATTGGTTCCTTTCTAAATAAAACAATCTGTCTGATCCACCGGCACAAGAATTATCGGAAAAAACTGATGATTATCCTACAATTCAACCTGAGTCTGCCACTTCAAAATTTCTTGATGTTGCACGGTATGCTGAACCAAGTGTTAAACAATCGGGTGCAAAACCTAAAGGGTCCAATTTGGTTGATGTTGCGCTGTATGTAAATTTCAGCGGCAACTTGTCTTCCTATGAAAAATATACCTTATTGAGCTGTACAATGATCCCTAATGACTTTTAAATATCCCGATTCCACACACTTGAAAAATAATAAAGAAGTTACGTGTTACTTATCAAAAAAACCCTTTGAGAAATTTCCTTGGCTGTCATATTCAGAGGAACTACAAGGGTTTTTCTGTAAATATTGCGTGGTTTTTGCAAAATTAGTAGAAGTACATAAATCAACTAACAAATTGTATGGCAAAACCGGTGATTGTGAGACATATGAGAACTCAGTATATCATAGAGAAGCAGTTTCAGATGCTACAAACTTTTTAAAGAAGAAAATCCAGAGAATGATATAAGAAATATAATAGGTTCAGAGCGAGTTAAGCAAGTATCAGAAAATCGGCAAAGGCTGACTCCTATAATAGAATCAATAATTTTTTTAGGATGCCAAAATATACCACTTAGAGGGCATAGAGCTAGGGGACGAATTTTTTCTAATCTCAGCACGAATGATGAGGATGTCTTTGATAATGAAAGGAATTTTAGAGAACTAATACGGTTTAGAGTCGAGATCGGCGGCAAGTTATCGAAAAAAACTTAGAGAACTCAAAAGTGCATGCTACGTACATAAGCAGCCACATCCAAAATGAAATTATAGAATGTTGTGGCGAAGAAATTTTGGATATAGTTTTAAGTCGCGTTAGGCAGTCACAGTATTACATTTGACGAAACTACAGACATTAGCCATAAATCACAAATGTCAATCGTATTGCGGTATTGTTATCAAAAACATATTTACAAGGACTTCATGCGATTTGTGAAGATACAATGGAGCCCAAACTCACAGGTCAAATTCTTGCTCAAACAGTCAAGCATTTCATTAAAACCAATAACTTAGACTCAAAACTATGTGTGGGCATTGGTACTGATACGTGTAACCTAATATTAGATGAACAAAAGGGCGCTGTAATGGAATTGCAAAAATGTTTGCCAAATGCTCTGAAAAGGCCATGTGCAAATCATGCCTTTAATCTTTAGATTTCAAAAAGCAGCAGTGTCCAAGCAGTAAGAAATACTGTAGGTATAATGAAGGAAGTAATTGCGTTCTTCAAAGCATTCGCTAAAAGAAATTATTATTATTATTATTAAAAAGAAAACTAGACGGATATCAAATTCATAGTATGTGCGAAACACGGTGGACTGAGAGACATGATGCTGTGCTCCAATTTGACAGCAAATTCGAGAAAATTGTAGAGGTACTAAATATCATATCAAATTGGAAAGACCGCGAAGCTTCTTCAAAAGCGAATTCTTTGAAGACTGCCATTACTTCCACCGAATTTATCGTATCACTAAAGTGTTTGTGTGATATATTAGCTTTAACAGTCAACCTGAGTAAGATTTTACAATCAAAAACAATTGACAAGCAATACGCTGTCAAACTCATAGGAAATATTTCAGTTGTACGAGAGAGATTTGATTGCCGGTAAGTGTTGCGACATCTGGAAGAAGTTTCTCCCATCTAAAGAGGATAAAAACTTGGCTGCGCTCAACTATGTTACAAGAGCGATTAGTGGGTTTAGCTCCTTTGTATATGCATAGGGATATTAAAATAGACGTGAATACAATCATAGATCGGTTCGCCAGAAAAAAGAATAGGCGCCTTGATTTTGTAATATGATAACACCTGAACTTTGCCTCTCAAATCCGTCTCCCTTCTGTTGGCCAATAAATAAAAAACCAGATGTAGTTAAGGATTTACTTACGTTTAGACCCCCACGGCGATATTTTCGAAAGTATCCAATCAAGATATGTGGTTTTATTAATTGGACAGCAGATTGATATAAAAGTCTGTTCAAATCACTTTCTAAGCTAATGTGATGATTGTTTTATTTCGAGACTGTGAACTGATGTAGTTTCATAGTTTATATGTTTTTGTTTTTTGCAATGAACATTTTTTGTGTTTTTCTCATGATTAAGAATTTTATTTTGATTTAAATTCAGTTTTATACTTCATAGAAGTCGTAACATATTTGTTATTGTTATTTTTTTCATGAAGATGTATTTTTTGTTGTTTTGTCTGACATTGTTATGTAGAAAAGTCTGTGATTTGTTATATTAATTTGCATTTTTATGTTAATATATGAAGATTGCTCGAGCTTGGTTTGCTTTATTTACACTTTGATTTCGTATGATTCAAAATTTAAAAAAAATGCATGAATTTTCTACAGAAATTACTGTAACAAATTCATATGTCTGCATATGTCCATGCTTTTAATGTTTAATCATCATAACACTTCAGTACGTCACACTGTGATTTCGCTTAACATTTTACCTCTCCCAGACTGAAATCCTGGAAGCGCCACTGGCTGGCCCTTAAACTCTTTGCTAAGAAGTCATATATTTGAAGTAAAAACATAGTTTACACTTGATCGTGTGTAAAACCGTCGGGTGGTGAGGAAACAAGTTACAAAAATTCGCATTTATGTTAGAATTTTTACAGACAACTTTCAGAGACAATTATCGCAACAAGAATGCCTTGCTGAGTTACTGTCTGTTTTCGGCAACGAAGCGCCACATCAGTCGACAAATTTCCCGTTGGTATGGAGAATTCAAACGTGGACGGGTGAGTCTTAACGACGATCCCAGGGTGGGTGCACTAAAAACGGCAGTCACCCAGAAAAACGTCGATGCTGTGTGCAAACTCATCATTGAAGATAGACATGTGACATATCGCGAGATTGAGGCGTCCTTGAAGATCTCAAAGACCTCAATTCAAAAAAATGTACATGAAGAATTAGGAGTAAGAAAATTAGATTCTCGTTGGATACCCCACCTGTTGACTGAAGAGCAGAAAGCAGCCAGGGTTAATTGGTGTCAAAAACGCTTGACCGTTTCAATTCCGGAAACTCAAGAAATGTTTACAGCATTATTAGTGGTGATGATTCATGGATTTACTGTTATGAACCAGAAAATAAATGACAGTCGGCTGTTTGGGTGTTCCAAGGTGAAGAAAAGCCAACATAAGTCAACCGTTCTCGAAGTGTTTCGAAAAAGATAGTCGCGACATTTGTATCAAAAGCGGGTCATATTGCAACAATTCCTCTTAATAAGCAAAGAACTGTTACTGCGGATTGGTATACCACCATTTGTTTGCCAAAAGTCATCACCGAGTTCCGAAAAATCAACCCCGAAAGAAGAATCATCCTCCACCAAGATAATGCAAGCTCGCACACAGCCCCAAAAACAAGGCAGTATTTAACGGAAGAAAACGTGGAATTATTGGACCATCCTCCATATAGTCCCGATCTAAGTCCTAACGATTTCTTTACTTACCCGAAAATTAAATCAGACTGCGTGGTCAAAGGTTCCAGTCACCAGAAGAAGTAGTTGACGCATTCAAAAATGCCGCTTTGGATCTGCCAGCAAATGAGTGAAATAAGTGCTTCGGAAATTGGTTCGAGCACATGCAGATGTGTATTAATCTTCGTGGAGAATACTTCGAAAAACAATAAAGTCATTTAAAACTACCTACCGTGTTGTTTTATTTCCATATTCAAAACTTAAAAGACATCCCTCGTAATCTGTCTTTTAGAGTACGAATATAACAGTGCTGCGAAACATTCAAATACCTTTTTCTAACAGTATAGAAAACCTTTTAAGAAGAATAGATAACACCCTGTATATGCTTCGTGGCTTTTCGAATGGATTTGATTTACAAAATTTATGAATTATTTAATAGAATGGATTCCAAAATGCTTATAACTCACTACTACAAAGCACAAAACAGGCACTCAGGGAGGACAAGAATCAGAAATAATGGTTTACATGAATTTGTACTCCGTGGGTGTGTCGTTTGGCCTGAAGCATATTAATATTTTATCTTTCCAGTTAATCTTCAGAAAACCTACACAATACTCTGAAACCGAATAACTCTTGGTAAGCTGACTACTGCTACAGGAATACGAAACAAAGGTTTGAACATACAAAAAACAAAAATTTGCATTTTTATAATGAGTAAATGAATAGTTTAATCAATATGAAGTGCTTTGCTTCACGAAAAATATATTTTATATTGTTTTTTCGATTACATTCTGCTGAAATTTATGGTTGCACCGCCTCGTGTGGCATACCGTAAGAAAGAGCAAATGTGGAGGATTTTTTTAATGATTTTAATCTACACTATTACTAAATTTTCTAAATTCTTTCGGTCAAAAAGCCAAGCGCACTGAAAAATCGAACCATTCAGAAAACCAGAATTACTTTTTATAATGTGTAAGCGATCTTTTAAATGATACAAATAGGAAAGCAAAAGAGTTGCGATGGTTTATCGCATAATTTTTTTCTAGGATTTCACGAAAGTGTGCATGCTCAGAAACGGTCCTACTTTGCACCAAGGTGTATGTAGCTGAAGTGTTCCAAATGCGGTGTACAATCGCCTCTGAAGAGATTGATATCGACCTTCCGAACACTCTGTATATAGATAAGGCACTACCAGCATTGAACTTATCGTTGAATTAAGTAATGTTTTCATGGTATGATAAATGAAAACAATCTTTTCACATGCCACCTACCTTGTTTCCCATGACGGGATTCTGTCATGCATGCTATATGTGATACAGGTATTTGCATTGGACTTTTTCCAAGCACGTGCAAACGAAAACGTAGAATATCACTCCCTCTGGACAAACCATTACTATAATGGGAACGCGCTTGCAACGTACCGTATCAACATTGAAAAGCATTGATATTCCGCAACGCACTACCTTATTAAAATGTATACTTCTATGTTATACGTTATACGTCCAGACTGGTATTAAAATTCATGCCTTAGGAATTTAAAAGAATGGGGATTCTAAAATATACCTTTTAGCACATCACAATACTGAGTTCTTCACTAGATCCGTATTGTTTGCCTTCTGTCATCTCTCTCCAAATTACTAGACCTATCTACCTAACAACATTGTCTACTGTAGATTACGGTAGCAGATGTGGAAAGCAAACAGATATTCAGTATATGTTTGCATAGTACGTCAATGCTGGTAGCTGGTGAATGCTACCACTCTCTGAGTGGCGATGTAGCACCTATGTACATGTACCCTATTTCACGAGCATCTATCACTCTTTGACGTCTACTGAGGTGAACAGCTGGTCAGCAAGTGACATTTTTGAATCTCGTAAAACTAGTTTGTAGGGTTTTGTTGTTTGTATGCAAATGGACTACTTATTCTAAATTAAACGGCTTTTAGCAAGTACAAAGTGAATCTGTAGCGTACAAAAAACCAAAACAAATTATGGATCTGTCTACCTGGCATTGACGGATCAGAATTCTCTCTCTTTTACCGATATGGGGAATTTTTAAATATTACTAGATAATCACCTGTCATTCTACCGTAATGAATACTCGTGAGAGAGGGTGGAAGTCCTTCACAAAAGCGGACACTGGCACTCAGAGTTGCCGGGGAACTGAGGCTTCCTGCTAGCGTCCGTAGGAGTTAGTAGTACCGTGATTGACGAAAGTACACTTAGTTGGCAGCTACACCTTTATTTCTACTTCCTACGCCTACTAGCGAAGAAGCATTGTACCGGCAGGGGTATCACGTAACTTGAAAAGTGACATTATGCCGATTTTTTTTTGACATTATGCTGGTTTTTATTGACATTATGTAGGTTTTTCTACAAGTTGTTAACTTAGCACTTAGTTGTACGTGTTGCCTAAACGTCATGAGGCTTGTTATCAGTATTTGGCTCTGATGTGATGTAAAATCTGCTTCCGAGATGGCATTACTGGAGCCCTAAGCTGTAAGTGGTATGTGTTGATTATAATTACATTGGGTTCTTGTCTCAAATACATTTAATTGAGATTCAAAGCCAGAAATTAGTTGCGCATCCACTTTTTCTTATCCGTTCTTGAAATTGCATATACAAATATGCTGAATTTCAAAAATGAGAGAGATAAGAAATAATTATATTCACTATACACTGTCTAATTACAAGTCATATACGTGCTAACAGTAATTACACACAACGCGGGCGCGGTGATGATTTCCTGTTATTCTCCTCAGTTTTTCGTAATTTATAATTTTGAACATAACCTCTCTTCAGAAAGCACAACATAAAAATAACCCGTCGGGCACAGTCAATAGATATACTTCATTGGCAGCATATTCAGTAATGACTTTCTCACACTGCAAATATCACTGATTTTATACACATAAGAATAAGACATTACACATAATCGTCCAGATGCGATCTTGCTAATTAACCAACTTTCTTCTCAGAGATAAAAACTACAGACACGGATCATTCAGCCTCACAAACCTATGCAACCAATAATGCGTTAGTTGAGTGATTCATCCATAGATGGACGTTCACAACGATCCTAGTGAGCAAACGTGGAATGACTTTGCGCCCTAAAAACTAACTAGTCTGCAAGTTGACATCTTATAGGTTTTTTTTGACGTTTTGTAGGTTTTTTTCATGATACCCGTGCCGATCACATAATAACGGCAGAACTGTTAATTTCAATCGCTCTACGGCAAA